TGGCTTTGGTCACAACACTAACAATTTTATGCCTGGAAAATCAATTGAAAATGTTCAACACACATATGAATGATTTCACTGGAATAATAAAATGATTATTTCTGCTAGGTGCTGCAAAACGCACAGAGATACAACAACCAATTCCCACACATGAATGCAATTTTTGATAAGATATTTGATCATATGCAGAGGTAAACAAAATCAAAACCATTTTGAAATGCAAATATTAAAAAAAAACACTAATATGCATGTTAAGTTTTCGTCTGAGAGTCCTTTTAAGACTACTAAAAGCCCTCCATAGCTTGGCCACAAAATGCACGGGAACCTCCATGAAACCATGCAAGTAAGTAATTTAGGGCAACAATTGAATTTAGAAATTAAAACACTAGAGAGAGAGACTAAAGAAAAATAAAGGTCGAGTCTTGAGAGAGAGAGAGAGAGAGAGAGCTGTTTGATTTGATAGATGTTACAATACAAAGTGAAGGTGAGGAGTGGGCACGTGGCGGGAATGGGGAACTGAGGTGGACACGTGGCGAACGATGGGGCTTCTGAAGAGTTTGATACGAAGTCCATTGCAGGGATGTTGAGACAAAGACACACACACGACACCGCTCCTTGCGAAGAAACATATTTTATTTTTGTTTGTTTTTTTACTATAAAATTAAAATTATTAAAGTTTAATGAGATGTTTAGCCAATATTGTTCAACTCATTTTCATTTTGGCCCCGGAAGTAGTTTTATGAATGTAATGTTAGCTTTGTCTCATTAATAATAATAAAAATGAAGCTCAAATTGAAAATTCAAATCAAATTAGTAGATAAAATTCTACATACCAATATTTGCAACTACCATAAATGAGAACTATGTTATCTCTTCAAAATATTTGCAATTATATCTGTTGACGTGAGTCTCCTAATTAATCAAGGAGAATTATTTCCTTGATTAATTAAGGGATTTACTTTCCCATTCCATTTAGGGCATGTTTACGTATCAGTAATGGAGAAAGTAAGGAATCAAAGAATTTAGGAATCGGGGAACTACTGAATCGGTATGGGAAGAATCATTCCCATTAAGCTGTTTACTAAACATATGGAATTAGCAAAGGAATGGGGCTGATTCCCATTGTTATTGTTTACTAATTTTCATGAATCAGAATTCAAATTAATTTGATTACTAAAATGTCCTGCACATTTTCACCACAACACATATATAATTCTCAAATTCGCTAAGGAGACCAAACTAATCCTGCAGCAAACCAGTAAGGCAATGTAAACATGAGGAATCACTATGCTGAACAAGCAAGAGCCCAATTCAATGATAATGTTAATAACACCTTTGTCTAGAGCCAATTTGAAACAAAAAAATAAACTCTAATAAATATATATCTTTCACCTACGTAAATAGTAAACAATCAAATAATAATAACTTGCATAATCTTCATACTACCAAAAAAGAGATATATAATCTCCAAAAAAGTCTTTATCCAAGACCGTACTTTGTTTTGTGATGAATGTGAAGATAGAAGATAGAAGAAGAAGAAGATAGATATATAGATAGAATGACTTACATAGCACAAGGCGTTGCTGCTACTTCTGGGAGATTGTGTCTGCAACGCTAACGTGAAAAAGAAGTTAGAGCGTCTTGGAACTTCTTGGCATGAGTTTTTTTTTTTTAGGGTTTGGGGTGTTTTGGAATTATGGTAAAGTGGTAAGGGTATTTTTGGAAGTTATTAAGAGAAAACAGGAATGGGAATCGTATCGACTACTCCCCCCTAATTGATCTGATACCTAGTTTTGAGGGGATGTGATTACGGATTTTGAGGTGGGGCCCACTTATTTTTTCATTCCTGATTGCAAGTAAACGCAGGGGAAGTCAACTTGAGGAGGAGTGTTGACGTGAGTCTCCTAATTAATCAAGGAGAATTATTTCCTTGATTAATTAAGGGATTTACTTTCCCATTCCATTTAGTTGACAAATCTGTGTATAATTAGGAGATACTTTCCTAATTCCTGATAGTATCTTATTCCTTGTAAAGCACTCTGTAAACCTATATATATACCTCCTTATGGAGAAGAATAAAATATCTGAACATATTGAAAACCCGTATTCATATTTTAGCATGATATCAGAGCAATCGATCCTAGGTTGTCTCTAAATCCTCGTATTGAATCCCGAAACCCTGAATCCTGAAACTCTGAATCCTGAATCCCGAAACCC